TACTCAAGATTTTGGTATGTATCCCAAATAAAAACAAAGTGTGTTCTTTCAGTTTTAGATCATGTTGTACAAAACTGCATAAATCGTCTGTGTATGTGAAATCTAGATACCCACAGCTACTGGGCACTGAGCACTCTTGCACTACTGATGGGCCTTATTTGTCCATGCAGGATTTGGCAGGGGGTGCAGGAGCTCATTAGGATTATATACATATATAATTTTTAAAAGCCAAGGATTTTTGTAGCAGTTTGGTTCACTTCTAAACAATTCGTCAGCCAGGTATAGAAGTTAATTATTCCTTTTTTGTATTACTTTTAGAGTCTTGCATATTTCTGAAATTCAAGAAGATCAAAGAAGCACTTAGGACCGTCACAATAAGTATCCCTTCTGTGTACATATTACAAAGGCTCCCTTGTGTTATTAAGCACAGCAGGTTCACTTGCAGTTCTTGCTGAACCTCTGATCTGTGAGATAGTGCACAGGTTGTTGTGAGTTCATGTTATGATATTCTTTGAGTAGCGGTCTGGTTGAGAATTTTCTGATGAATTTTTTTTCAATGGAAAATTGGGTTTTCAATTAAATGAAATTTTTCAAGGAATATAGCCTTGAAAATTTGGATTTTTCACTGGAAAACCCCAAATGTGAAAATTTTCCTCTGAAAACCTGAAGTGTTTTGATTTTTGACAGTTTTGGGTTGAATTTTCCAGCATTTTGTGGAGGGGGGGGGGAGGCAAAGTTTGCCACTGAATTTTGATGAAAATGTGTTTTGTTTTCATCAAGATATTCCATCGAGAAAAATACTAATTTCTGACCAGCTCTATGAGATGTGGCCTCTCGCTACATTAATGATGGATACCTGGAAATGGATGAATATAATATCCATCTAAGGCCATGTACACACTTTCAATTAGAATGTTATAGAATGCTGACAGCTGTAGAATTATGACACCTCCTTGATATTGTGATTTTTTTTTAATACTTCAGGTGCCAGATTTTGGGAGATGGGGACTTCCTGCAGTCTTCACTCAGGAGAAACTCCTATTTAAAACAGTGCTTTTCCTGAATGAACACTACATCACTGAGCTCATGGAAACTGACAGGAAACTGTTGATATAACATTTTCTGATAGGTAAACCCCCCTGTTACATGATGTGAAAGGCAGGTGTGCTAAACAGTTACCGCTGTTTAGAAATAGAACTTAATAATGAACCAAGCTAATTTCACAGCAGATCCACTACTTTTTCACATTCTGAGGCAGCTAAATATTATCCCCTGTATTTGATTCACACTTAAATGTACAACTACCTAGCAACAGTCATGAAGAAAATTGTTCAGTGCTTAAAGCCATCAGTAGCAGCCTGCTTGCCTCTCATTATGTATAATGAGATCATAATTATGCAATGTTGATTAGAAATGTCAGCCAGGTTCTGAAAATAAGTTTTACCACTAAAGTACCTCTGTTAATAATCAACTTAAATGTCAGTTATTTTGATAAATTGATTTTCAGGAATGTAGTTGGCCTAAAGAATGTAAAGGTCATCAAGAATACATCCCAGGCTGTTATACTTCGAATTAGAGATGTAATATGATGTTCAGGGCAGCAAGTACTATATTATTGTATTTTCTGTGTATGAACCCTAACCTGTCAGATCCCCCTGCAAAATCATGTCAAATTAATGTTTGCTATTTAGAAAAGTCATGTATCAAAAAAGGAGTTGGCATCAAGAAAAGAAGCCTATATTCTGAACTGGGAATTTACTGCTAAGGGATTGTATCGGGAGATAATGCAGTTTCTGAGGCCTGGTTAGGTCCTTTTTGTGCCATTCCCTCATATGGGACTTAAAGCTACCATGAAGAGGAGCAGGAATAATCCAGAGGAGGGGAGATCAGCAACTTCTGTTCTCCCTGTCTCATAAAACAAGACTAAGGGGGCATTCAGTAAAATTAAATGGTGAGAAATTCAGAAGTGAGAGAAGGAAATACTTTTTTTGTGTGTGTGTGCACATTGTAGAATTAAGCTGTGGAACTCATTGCCTCACTGTGTCATTAAGTCCAAGAACCTAACACGATTGAAAAAGGGATTGGCTGTTTATCTGGATACCAAGAATACCCAGTAGTTATAATGAATGACAACGGACATTCTGGAAGAAATACTAAATCTCGTGCTTCAGGGCGTAAACCAATCTCTAACTATTAGCAATCAGGACATGACCTATATAGGGGGAAACTGTCCCACATCTGCCTATCATGGGATTTTTGCATTTTCCTTACAAGATCTGGCCACTAACAGAAATGGGATACGGGTTAGATAGACTTTGGGTCTGGTCCAGTGTCACAATGCGTCTTATGTCGGAGAACCTCCCTTACCCCCAGTAGCATGAAGAGTCTCTGCCCCCTCATTATTATTATTATTATTATTTTATTTATTTGTATTACCATAACACCTGGGGCCCTAGTCATGGACCAGGATCCCGTGGGGGTAGGTGTTGTCCAAACACAGAACAAAGACAGTCCCTGCCCCAAGGAGCTTACAATCTAAGTATCGGACAAGAGACAATAGCTGGATACATATGGATAAAAAGATGGGAGAGTATAAGGAAACAATGAGACAGTACTGGTCAACATGATCGGCTGTGGTCTCAGCACACCAGTAGCCTAACTGTTGTCAAGTTTTTATAGACATCACAGTCAATGAGAGTTCTGTGCATCTGGTACATTCTGGGGTGGGAAGGGCAGGGGAACAAGCTAATACAGTAATCCAGAAGGGAAGATACATTCGCTTTAGACTTACACAGTTTAGCTTGCAAAAAACTCACGAGTATTTGATTTAGGAGGGTAGGACCCAATCCTGAAAGGTACTGAGCATTCTGACCCTGATCCAGCAAGGCATGTGCGTAGATTTAAGCATCTGAGTAGTTTATTCCATTCTCTATCACTACCAGCTGGTTTCTTCACTGGTATGTGTCTATACTGCTGCCCACAAGGAGACGGTGCTATCAGTCTCGCCCTATCCTGAAGAGGAAAGGAGATGACTGTGCATTTGGAAAGCCGCCTGCATAGCTTGAAGCATCTGAACAGCCTCTCTGATGCACCTTTGAACTTTTTCCTCCTTCATTTGTTTGTCTTGAAGATAAAACTTCACAGCAGTGTTTGTAGTGAAGTCTAATGAGGACCAGTGTTTGCATAACAAGACAAAGCTCCCCCTGCAGCCGTCCAAACTTCATTAAATTTAATTTATATTCTGGCTAATCTTTGAAAGTGTATAAAATGTGCAGCCAAAGTTTGTTTTTACATAGTTTGGAATAATATATTGTTTGTTTTAAATGGTCAGTTGCAACTGATAGTTGTTTTAAGTACAACATAATGATATATTGTGATGAACTCTGGGTCGCCTAGGGGATGTATTTGTGTCATTGACTTCCATTGCGTTAGCATTCTCCTAGGTCAATTATACATTTAAGGAGGAAAACAGAAGAGTGATTACTTCTTAGCTTACCAGACACTTTACTTCAGCACGTCTGCAAAACATTCTAGAGTCCATATCTCTAAAATCCACAAGCTTTCAAAAACCAGATTAAGCCACTTAATTTAAATTTAATTCCACGGGAGGTTGAATGACAGGTTACTTCTGGGTAAGCGGTGCTGGCAGTCCACAAGCAATAGAAAAGATCACTCAGTCTCGGCCCTTAGTATCGCTCTAATAGAGGACTGTAAAGATTGTATCCATTAGTATGTATTCAGAAATGCTATCAAGAAACTTGGAGGCTTATTGTAGTTGTGCCATACAAAATAGAAACAGAGGAATAACACCATATGTTTAAATGTGATTTCACACTAGCCTATAAGAAACACATGTTTTCCCTACACCCAGAACTTTCTCATGTAGTGAACAGCTCAAGAAATTTCAGACCATATAGAAGTGTTAATATTTAAGTGTCCCTGTTTCTAGAACATTCTAAGTGCCCTATTAATCTTTCTGTAGTTAAAATATCTCATTTATTTAATCTGTCATCTTTTCAGAGTTCTCTGAAATGTGGGAAATGAATTATAACATTTAATCTTGTGTGTATGACTAGCTGACATATAGGCCCTTCAGTCGGTTTACTTTAGAGTGACAGATGCTTGGAAACGCTCTATGGCATGTCATGAAAGTTATGATCATGGTTGTTTATATGATAGCTCCAGAAGTATGTCATGTGCTTTCCACACAAACACGTAAGTTGTCCATGATTTTCAAAAGGGACTGATGATTTTGAGTTGCCCAGTGTTTGGGTGCACAATGTTAGAGCCCTGATTTTCAGACGGTGAGTGCTCATCGCTTTCCAAAAATCAGGCCCTTTTGAAGTGTCTCAAGTAGAAGCCAAGAAGCTGAGGCACCATTATAATCACTAGTCACTTTTGAAAATCTTGGCTAAGGGACCCTGCCTTAGAATTGACTGAATGAAGATCCAAAATATTCTTGCTTTACAAAATAGTTCCAGGTCTTTTTCCACAGGTATCTTCTCGTCCAAACTTCCATGCCCTCCATGATTTTTTTGGGGGGGGGGAGGGGAATTGAGGTGCTCTCCACAAACTTCCCCACTTCTCTCCAAACACTCACCTTTTAAAAGCGCAGTTATCCAGCGTAAATAACAGACACAGAAAGCCCTGACTGCGGTAGAGAAGAGGGACAGGATGCTCAGAGCTTTTTGGGGCTTAAGAACTTTGCTTTTCCACTTAGAGATCAGTATGCATCTAGGACGGAAAAAGGCCTTTCATTCTGAAAGTTACAATGCACCATTTGTGCTAGTATGGATCATTTCAAATCTCTCTGTATACCCAGGAATAGAAATCACCAGTTTATTAATCAGTTTTTCGAATTAATGGCTTTTTTAATTTATTTTTGAGATCGCTTCTCAAATAGAACTTTTAAACCCTTTATAAATGTTGTTTTTAAAGGCCATATCTCCTTTAAACAGCATTTTTATTTTACTTTATTTTATTCTATTTTTGTCTTTCAGGAAAAAATGCTGTAAGGGTTATAAATTTGTTCTTGGACAATGCATCCCCGAAGGTATGTGATTTCATTGTTCTTACCCTTCACATCCCAGTGCCATTAGCCATTTCTCATTTCTTCTGTTTTCTGTGCTGTTAATTTGGGAGAAAATACTGAGTTAACCACAGGCTTGGTTTTCCCTGGTGTGGGATTCGTTACCAGAAATAGCAATACAATAAAATTCAGTGTCTTCAAAATATTTCAACTAGGAAGCCAGGTCTTGGCTCTCCCTACATACATCTGGTTGTATAGATCTTGTGATATGAATTAGTGTACACACAGGGCCATATTCTGCCCTTGGATGTGTGTTGAGAGCCACTCCACCCAGGAGTATTAGTCAGTGCAGCTAGGCCAACAACTAATTATTCCTTCTCTTCCAACAGCAGCAGTGGGCTGGGAGAGGCTAGTGCCTCAGAGGGGTGTCTCCCCAGGGTACTCGTGGGGTGGTGCAGCTTAGACATTGCCTCTTACACAAGGCTGTCCCTAAAGGCAATGAGAATTATTCTGCGTAGCTCATGCTGTGGTGAAAGGGAGTGTTCTCTTACAGGCATTAGTGAGTGATGCTAAACCATATTTTGTAGATACAGGTTTTGAATCTCCTGAGTTCAAAGGGCTTGGAACATCTGGATCATCTTTTAGAAAAGAATGAGACGCATTTGCAAGTGAATCTGTAGCTCATGGACACAACACACAATGCTACTGGATGACAGGCATGAATTTTAAGGGCCCGATCTGAAGCCCATTGACATCACCAGGAGTCTCTCCAGTGACTTCAGTAGGCTTTGGATCAGTCCCTAAAACAGTTATTCACAAAACTGCGTCACACAAGATATCTCCTCCTCTCACTGACTTTCCTGATGCAGGATCAAGCCATATATGCAGAGCTAAGACTGACTGCAAAGCTGCAAAATCCTCTTGCTGTAGGCAAACTCTTTAAGCTGAAAATAAAAAGGCTGTGCTGGGTAACACATCTGTACAAGGACAATGCCATACTGGGACCATGGAGTTGGTCAGTGAGCTTCCTTAGTATGAGATGTAAACATTTTGAAGGGAATAGAGGCAGGGTAATGTCGTTCTTGAGAAACCCAGTGAACTGCTTGTTCTTTGGCTTATAAATTCTGGCCAACAAGTTCCTCCCAGTTGTGGCTCTTACTGCCATTTGCCCTTGGGTGAGTGAGCTGTTTGTTGTCAGATAACAAAAAATAGCCACCTCCTAAAAATATTGATCCTCATGCTGTCAATGTGGTGAGAAATTCAAAGTGCTCCCAGCACAAAACCCAGCAGAGTTGCTGCAACAATGGGTGAGGTTTGAATGAGATCAGTTCAACTTGGTCTGCTTATGTTCATGGTTTTTATTTTGGGCTTTGCCTTTGTGTTTGTGTAGGGAACTCATAGCAGGACTGGTGAGCTACAGTGTGAGAGACTGAGACTGAGTAGAAGCATGGTGTTGGATTGAAGACATTTTTGGTTTTGTAGAATATAGGAAGACGGAAACAGAGACCATATAGACTGGAAAGAACTCAGGCTCTCTGCAAATCCATCCTCTGGCTTTCTTAGGATGGTGTCTCCAGTAAAATATACTGTCTCGATAGTGATTATTGACTAAGCATCACGGAGATTGTGGGAGAAGAAACAGGGGTATGGATAACAAAAAAGCCACAACAAAAGAGAATTGGTGTTTCTAGTTTTGACCTATTCAGATTTAGGTGAACCTGAAAGTAGCTTTTAATTATGACTCCATTGACTTTAGTCAAGCTCTCCCTGGGCTCTGGATCTTAACAAGCGTGGAGAATTTCTTCCTTTAAATTCACTTGTTTGCTGGCTGTGGTTTCTCTACCTCCAGCTCAGCCCTCTTTGTATCCTCCGTTAGCCCCCTCTCAACCTGACCTGAGTTTCACCTTGAATTTCACAGACCAAAGGAACAGTGGAAACAGCTGAAACTGTCTGGGGCAATAGCGTATAAACTAGAAACACTATGTTTCGGAGAAACACTCTTTTAACTTACTCTGTTAAAATGTAACCGCTCCCCGCACATCGTTCCATCGTAATCTTGGCAGTATGAGTGTGCTTGAAATGCAGATCTCATCACAGGCACATAAGTATATTACAGATGTCTCAGGTTGTTAGTTTCCTTATTAAAGTATATCTTTGCCTTTTAGCCATTACTGGCAAATCACAACACCAAAAAAGCAATTGTAGTACCGTCTTCCTGTGCAACTAGCAGTAAGTACAAGGAAGGGCTTGGGAGCTCAGGCAGACCCTGCTCCATCTACTCTATTATGTATGCAGCAGAAAGACTTGGTTCTCCTTCCGGGGCAGGTGTTTTTTAAATAGTCTCTCCTCCCTAAGGCAATGGCATTGTCATTGGTCTTCAACCTCCTTCCTGTCGTTTCCATCCATTCTCCCTTCCCTGTTCTACCCTCTAATTCCCACATATCCAGATAGAAGGCAATGCAGTCCAGTGGTATGAGAGTGGGTTCTATACATATCTAAGCCTCGGACAAGGTATCGTACATCTCTGTGCCTCAGCTTCCCCATCTGTAGAATGGGGATAATAATATTTAGAAAAGCAATTTGAGACTGAGTACTAAGTACTATTTTTATTACTACAGTTGCCTCTCTGACATCTCCTTCTGCCCCACTTTCTCAAACCAAACATGTCAAAAATAGAACTTTTCATCTTTTCTCCAGAACTTCCTCTCTCTCTGTCTTACTATTCATGGTTGACAATTCCATTCTCTCTTCCTTCTCTGGGCTCAGCTAAAGCAAAGCACACATGCTTGTAGCCTGGATCAAAGACTGTGTTCAGTCTTAGACTCAATTCCGAAGCTCCTTAAGGGTCCTTAAAGAGATTGTGTGTATGGGGGGGAATTAGCTATGGGAGTGAGCGTCACCATCATGGCTTTTCCTAACCGTGACCACACCGGGCATCAACTCGGTCATCACTTTTAGCATCTCCCCCTGTTGGACCGCCAGTTTTTGGACAGCTTCACTTAAGCTTTCCAATGTTAGCTCTGTTTGGGGCAGGGCCTTTTCCCCAGCAGCTGCATTCACTAGGCCCCCACTTCGTGTATGGGGGTTAGGCTTGGCCGCCTCTGCCACAGGAACTTCCTCTTCTTCTGACCACATAATGGCAGCCTGCATGAGTTCACTGAACTTCTTACTGGGCTCTTCTTTAAACCTCCTTTTCATTTCACGTCGGAGGGAGTCATCCTGGAGCCCCAGCACTAACTGCTCTTTCAGAACCGTATCTGGGTCTGGAACTTGCTGAGGGTCTCGCTGCTCCACTTTGCTCATTCTCTCCTGGAGGTCATATGCGTATGCCCGGACGGTTTTACCAGGCTCCTGCTTTCTCTCAAAAAACTCCTTTAGTCGGGTTCCAATAGGTACCTTGTCTCCATACACTTCTAGGAGGAGTTCAAATACCTTTTCCACATCTTTCTTGTCTGCCACTGCCATGAACTTTACTGTGGCCTTGGCCTGGCCCTTGAGGTGCTCCTCTATGAAGTCCACATGATCTTCTTCAGGTACTCTTAGCACACACAGAGCCGCCTTCACAGACTTCACCCACTCCTCTACTGTAATGTCTCCTGGTCTAGTCGGGAAGCCACCAAACTCCGTGACCTTCCGCTCCCGTGGGACTTAAATAGTAGGGGGTTTCTTAGCTTCTGCTGTCTGTTGTTCTATTACTGCCTTGGCCAGCGATAAGGCTTCTCTCTGTTCAGTTCTAGCTTGTTGTAATGCCTCCGCTTGGTCTGATAATCTGCGCTGAAGTTCAGCAAACTGGGTTCGTAGTTCTTCAATTCCAGCCATGGTAGGTGGCTCAACCAGGCCTAGAACTCAACCAGTAAACCAATGGGGTGGACCCTGAGGATAGGATCCTGTTTGTGACGCCAATTATGTAAGCCGGGGAATGGTCCCGCTATTGTGGGGAACTTTCCTAGCTTCTGCACTACCCCGGTGAAGTGGGCTAGCGAAAGGATCTGAGTCCTCGCTCCCACTCCCTTTACCCAGAGGCCTCCCTGCCCTTGAGGTCTCCCCTTCCACTCTCCTGTCTGGCAGAGTCCTCGTAAACCCCGACAAGGCTGGGCCCAGGATTCCTGGGGGGCTTAACCCCCAACCCTGCTGTGGTCACCTAGGACAGGGGCTAGGGTGACCCCACTCCGGGGTACCCTCTCTGCACTGGGCACCTCCCTGACCCACTGATTATTCCATACAATTTAAAGCAAATACAAGTTGTTTAATTAACAATTAATCTAAAGAAAAGAATAAGGAAAAATGGAAGAAGTTAAAGGAAAACACATCACCCTGCTCTGTGGCAGGGAACATCACAAACAGTGTCTCTGGACATCAGGGCACTTCGCAGTCTGTTCCTTGTAGGTCCCAGATTTCCTTCTCAGGCCCTGGCTGTGCTGCAGGTATGCTGCAGGTTGGACACTTGCAATGGTGGTGGTCACACACCTCCGGGCTTTGAGTGGTGGGACCCTTCTTCCCAGCGTCAGCCTCCCGTCAGGTTACGGTCCCCTCCTGGTCTGGCCTGCAAGGGCCCTTGGCTAGGGGTGTCTTTCTGTGCTGGCCCTTTGCCCAACGTCCCCCCTTGGCTGGCCCCACTTGCTCACCACACCTGGCTCTGTGGCTGCAGCTCTGCTCCCAGCACAGGATCTGCTCTCCCTGGGCTGTGTCTCTGGCCCCTCTGGATCTGGCACGGTTCTGCTCTCCAGCTCAGCTTGGGCCCCTGCTTTCTCCTTAGCTCGGCCCCACTCTGTCTGACCCAGGCAATTCCAGTTCACACGGAGGACGGGACCCCCCTGGCCTCCTGACTCCCTGATTAGCCTGCCCGCCCTGTCAATCAGGCTGATCTGGAGCATTGGCCTCTCCCTATTGTTCCTGGGGACTGTCAGTCTCAGGCTCCTGATTTCCCATCGACCCTTCCCTTTTCGTGCTG